TGCAGCAGGAAAGGTGTGGCGAGCCCCTAAAACGTTTTTCACCGTTGCCACCTACGGATCATCAGAGGGAAAACCGGGCCTGCACAGACAACAAACATGCAACACCACATTCCAAACTGCCACATTCTTCCAACAGGCCAGGGTCAAGTGAGTAGGGAATAGCCAGTTATACCGCTTCCTCGTCGCTCTGAGACTCCACGAGGTCGGCATACAAGAAGCTGTCCATATCAAGACCCGCCATAGCCGAAGCAATTGAAGACACTCACAAGCAAGCCTCCACAACGCACATAACAACCGTATTGAAAGAAGGATGGCCAGAGGAATGTATATATGAATTATATAGGAAGTTGAGGGAGGAGTCTCAAGCTCGGTCGACGGACGGGAATCTCCCATGATAGGCGCCGCCTTAAATTTTTAGCGGTTTAACCGCGGGCCGGCTGGCACCAGAACCCCTTTTGTGGTATTTTCTGAGCGTATTCAGTACTAAGATTGGTGTTGATACATCGATTCGTCATGTTCGAGGAGTAGTCGTTGAATTGGTAAGGCACCGTCAATTCCTCAGAGGGCTACCTTTGCGATTTTTGTGTCTTTTAGTAGTATGTGGTCCTGAGTAGGCCAAGAGGTACTGAGGGATGTAGCTGACCAGGTGGGTCAGGTACATTATACAAAACCCGTTGTTCAACTTTGTCTACTAGTGCAGTCACTTACACCTTCGAAAATGACGAAAGGGGAGTCTTTGTCCAGAAAGGTAACTTGCGGGGAACTGAATTTGGCTGTAATCCCAGGGTGGAGGGAGGCATTTTTTGGTGTGGGATCTTCTTGGTGGCCGTGCCCAGTAGACCAATTGCTGCTTCCTACTGGTCGTACGGGAGCCAACGTATACTGCCCAGAGAGGCAAGGGACTAGTCCCAACTATCCCTATCCCAGGAGGCAACCCATAACTATACTCTCATACACCCCATATTGTCTTTAAAGGAAATGGCTGGGCCATTGTCATTCATCGGGGTATCATGCTGGGGTAGAGTCATTTACTGCATTTGCTGGGTCGAAGGGTGCAGGGGGAGGGGTAGGGGAAAAGGACGTGACTTTTTTATGGGTGTCTGAGCGGTACCTTACTTATCCCGATCAAGCCTGCCACCCACACTCTTTGCGTATAACGCTATGTTATGGTCCCGACGGGCGCAGGGGGAGGGGTCGGGGGAGAAAAAACTGGCTGTCTACCGTGGGTCTGATTAGTTCTAAGACTCGTATCCAGTCCACCATGCATTCATTCATCCATATATTCTCCTAAGTACACGTAAGTCTTCATGTCTGCTGGTATGCAAGTGTGTCCTTGTGCGTGTATGTGCATGTCCATGTATATATGTATGTATGTACATATGTATGTATGTATATATGTGTGTGTGTGTGTGTGTGTGTGTGTGTGTGTGTGTGTGTGTGAGAGAGAGAGAGAGAGAGAGAGAGAGAGAGAGAGAGAGAGAGAGAGA